CTGAATCTATAATAACCTTTTTGATGAATTTTTTTTCAGGAAGCTCGGACAAATGGAAAGTGAATGTACTCCCTCATTAATGGATTACTATATTTTTTTTTCTCGTTAGAATTCCATCGCTCGAATTTCTAACATGTTTTATTAGTCTTCTACGAGAATGAACAGATAATTTGTTTAATATATCAGAAACGAAAGGAAAACATTCGAGAATGATGGTTCGTTATTTTTCCTAGCAAGAACTTAATATATATTTTTTCATACAAAAAAAAAACTTAGGTTCTTACTGCTGTTAAATCTGCTCTAATTTTACGTGTTAAACAAGTTATGATGCAATTATGTACATTAAAATTATTAAAACTATAAAAACATTATCTTGATCAATGATAGAGAAAATCTAATATGATGAATATTTCATCTATTTATCAACGTGTTCAGCATCGTCTTACAAGAAACTCAAACACAGAATTTTCAAACATAGAAAAACGAGTGTTTACAAATAAAATTGATGTATTTAATTAATGTCGTTATCATCGTTTATCAATATTTGATTCAAATAATAATCTAGTAAATACTAGTGCAGAAAATACATCAACAAATGAATTCGATTTTAATAGTGTTATTCCATAAATTAATGATTTCGGTGAAATAGATTGAAATATTTTATTACAAATAATATCGATTATCATATACTTAAAAAAAGAAAACAATGAAACTTGATTCTCTTTAAATATTTGCTTGTTTATTATAAACTAAAAAAGAGGAGGACTAATAACAGCGACTTAGAAAAAAAAATGTCGATGATCAACCCAGAGATTTCTAACGGACAATAGATGATATTAAGATATGTAATTTTCTCGATTATTTTTTCATTTTCTAGGAGAACTACAGGACTATTCTAATAACTCAGGGAACTGTTTTTATTAAGTTACAGATGTGACATGAACGTGCCACGTATCCATGAGTTAAAAAACTATAGAAAAGATAACATATGTGTAAGACGAGCACAACATCTTCTTCCTCTTTATACATATCAGTTTGATAACATTCCTTTTCAATACGATATGTGATCAACGATTGCATTCATTTCTTTTGATATTGATTTGTAATGTTTAAGGGCAGTTGATATGTTATGCACTTGTTAGTTTTTGATAGACAGGAAAGAAAAAATCTTGTGAAGCGATAATTTTTTTGATGTTCATTCGTTTACTTTTGTTATTCAACATACCACAAATAAATTGAAATTGAATAAAAAAAAAATACTAGGGAAACATAAATGTAAATTATGAATTTATTATTATTTTTCTTTTTAAATTTCAAAATAAAAAATTATCGAACTAGTAAAGTTTTTAATTTATGAAACAATATAGTTAGTTATTTTCTGTCTATCTATTTTGTTTTTATGATGATATGATAGAAAATCATTATTAGTAGTTATTGTCTTTTTTTTTCTGTTTTATAAAAGATTTAAAAAGTTTTTAGTTTCATATACTTGATGAAAATTTCAATGAGAAAGAGTTTTTTCAAACATACTTTGTGAAATTGCTTTGAAACTTTATCTTAATAATTTTGTGAGTCAAAAATTGATCAATGAATCCAAAGATGATTTTCTATTTTGTTCGTGTTGATATGAGGACTAAATACTAGTTAGTTTAGCAATTCGAAGTTTAATTTATGGAAAATTTTGTTTTTTATTACACAAACTGATTCATTTAGCTCATTAATCCAGTTGTTGTTATTTATGTTGATCATAGGATTTGGGAAATTATCAAAATTTAAAAGATCGTGTTTTTTTAACAAGAAGTCATCTTCATTTTAAGAACGTTTCAGATATTGAAATGGTTATACTCCTGCAACTTGTTTCATTCTTCTATATTAGTCATTTGCTTGTTGTAAAGCAAAAACTCTTCGTAATACCTACGCTTCTTCTAAATGCATTCTCTCAGAATAGTTTTCCTAAGATAAAATTGAATTCTCTTGGCTATATTCATCAATTATGTGTAGACAATAAATATAATGAAAGAGCAACCATCATTCACTGAGTATGAATGATAATTGTATAAAATAAATAATCTTTTCGATAAGCATGTTCTGTAGATATCGCAATATTTTTTTTGTAAAATATACACAACAAACTATCAATGACATGCATTGCTGTTTCGTATGTGTTCAATTACATTGATAAATTCTAAGAAATCGCAATGAATGTAAAATTCTCAATATTCTTTCGAATGTTAATGATCCTGTTCAATATGATGTATTGACCTGAGGATCCAAGTTTTTTTACGTATCATTTTGAATATCTATTGATACTATTTCATCTTCTGCAGAAGTTAATCATTTTGTGATTCTGGATATTAGAAATAAAAGAAAAAGGAATGCTGAGGTGCATACTTCAGAATTCATCAATTCGTCTCCAAATATACAGGTGATAATGTAATATATATTATTATTTCTTTTTTTAGTTTTCGAGATCTGTCTATAGAAAACACTATGTATTTTATACATTATGAATAGAAAACAATGGTATAAGAGAGATAGTAGTTCTAGATTTTGTGATTGGTTTTTTTATAGTAAACTACGTTTAAGATACGAATTTTATCTTGTGAAAATAAAAGCACATGACTGAATTATTTTGCTTTGTACAATCTATCAAAGTATATATTGTTGCACAGCGATAAAATTGTGATAGAAAAGTAAATCGAACTAGATTTTATAAATACTATTGTTTTTACACATTCCGTTTTGTTTTCAGTTGATAAGCTTCAGAAATGGTCATCCATTTTCTTGATAGTTATTAACAGAGATGTAAGCCGACACGTTAATAAGCGATGGTTGAGTCTATTGTAACTTTACTTCTCTGTCGGTAGCAGCAGTGGGGGCTGAAAGTTCTCGATACCTTCCATTCATAAAAATTTTCTTAATCTGATGAAATTTTGAAATGAAAATGGGAGAAAATGATGATAGTGAACATGATAATAAGAAACTAGACAAAAGCATTCATGAAAACTAATCCTAGGTGTCGAACTATTTTTATGTCGCAGCGGTAGCTCAACCGATCGATTTACACCTCTAGTCACCTAATCTATAGCTCTAGACAAAAGATCGGTCTGACATAGAGTTCTTCTAACTAGTTCAGCTTCTCATGTGCACTTATTATCAATATATTGGTCTTTGAAGAAATTGCACATCCATTCAGTCATAGTGATCCTATAAACATAAAGATTCGATTGAAAATAAAATATGATTATGGATCTTTGGTTTGCAATTAGAAAGATAAAATAATACAAAAATAAATAGTGACAAGTCAAAATTTCAAAACTGATGAATGACTCATGAAGAACTATGTTTTTTGTATTTTCAAATTCTTTCCTATATTGGATTTTATTTTATTCTATATACGGAAATTTTCAATCTATACCAAGACAAATAATAAATGTTACAAACGAAAAGACAATAAGAAAAATAGAGAATAGTGATAAAATACCTTAACGTTGTTATACTGTTTTTTATCGATCAATTTTGAAGTCTTAAGTTGCTACATCCATACAGCAGCTTATTAACTGTACAAGAATGTACAAGTTTTCCTTAGGGACGAAAATCAAAAAATAAATAGGTGATTTTGTAGAGAATTGAATTCTGCATCAAATGGTATGTCACTCAGCATTTTTTGAAAAAATTTCTTACTTAGGAAATTCAAAATACGTTTTTTGAGCTATATTGATCAATGGAAGATTAATTGTAAACAAAAAAAGAACGACATTTTCGAAACAAATCAAATTAATCGACAAGAAATCTATTGTGAATACTATCAGAACGATTCAAAATCGTTCATTATACAAAGGTGTTCTGTTTATAGAATCGTATTCAAACAATGTTATTCTGAGAAGTCACATCTATTTCTTTTATTTCGAAAGAATATTAATCAAGAAAGAAATATTTTCAAGGCAGAGTTTGTCTAGTAAATGATGAAACTTCTGAAATTATAATAAATCTCAAGATGGATGTGGGTTTAAGTCCATTGAACCAATCATTAATGACTTGCCGAATAAATTATCGATGAAGTTCAAAATAAGTTTTCAATAAGAAGTTAGTTTTATAGAGCATATTGACGATAATGACTTGCTAGTTAAAGTATTAATCACGTTCAAGAATAGTTTTTGACGTTATATAATTATTGTCAGGCAAACAAGTTTATTTTATTATCTATCTAATCTTATTTTTTCTTAGTCTGTAGTTATTTTTATCACTGTTTGCATTGCTGTGCTTTAAATTGTAATATATAAATCTGATGAGTGTTTATATTTAAATAAATAAGACGAAATGTGTCGACGAGTTGAACTTTGCATTTTTACCAAAGTACATCAATTTTTTTTTTTACAAATCTTATTTTGATATGCTCGTTGTTTGTTGGTCATCTTCACCTTTAATGTACATTCTGCTACATTTTCATTTTTGTATTAGTTGTTAAAAAATTCTCAAGATTAATTTTGTAACTTAAATAGTACAAGTCGATTTGTTTTTGATTCATTTCAATGAAAATTTACAAAAAATATTTCCACACGTGATCAGAAATTTCGTTTGTATGTTTGATATTTATAATTAAAGGAAGGATTAGTTCTATTTTGTTTTTTTGATCTCATCATTATTTTGCATTCAAATGTCTTTTAATGAGGCATGATTTGCGTGATGTATATTTTTTTTTTCTGTCAAAATGACTGTCATAGAATTTTTGATTCTATTCATCATAATTCATTAGATTTTATATACGAGCAGATGCATATGGATCTTGAAACATTAACATGAACTTCACTACGAACGATAACTTTCTCCATTTTCTTCAATCAATACCTCAAACTCTCTATGCTACCATTGGTGTTGTTATTTTCATTATCGGAACAATTGGAAATCTACTTAATATTATATCATTCTCTCGTCTGGAAAGTTTGAATACATTACCCAGTTCTTTATTCTTACTTGCTTCTTTCATTGGTAGTCAAATTATGTTGATTACTGGTCTTGTTCCTCGTATCATTATTGGATTGACTGGTAACACTTCATTGATGAATTCTTTAGTTTTGTGTAAAATTCGTACAATGTTACAACCAGCAAGTGCCACATTTTCAATGAGTTGTGTTTGTTTCGCTGCTTTTGATCGTTATTTATTTTCATGTCTTGATCTACGTCGTCAACGATGGATTACACTTCAACAAACTCGTTTAATCATTATCATCACAGTTATACTATGTCTTGTTATATTTTCACCATATCCCGTGTTTTATACAACACCAACTTCATCATCTTGTTTAATTGTTAATTCAATTTTTATTTATATTCAACCATTTTTAAGTTTGATTTTCTACAATTTAGCACCGGTGATTATTCTTAGCATTATCTGCACATTAACTTGGCGAAATTTAGGACAACAAATGGTATTTTATTTAAGAGGACATAATCGTTGCTACGATCAAATCACTCGATTGATTATTGCTCAGATTATTGTCATTCTAATTACAACTTTTCCTATGGTAATATGGTTGATTTATAAGATTGCAACACAAAACTTATTCAAGAGCTCGTTTCGTCTTGCTCAAGAAGCCATAATCAACACTGTCTTTCTATTACCTGCATTTTGTCCATACGCAATCATGTTCTACGTCTATTTGTTTGTATCACCCGTATTTCGTCGAAATGTAAAATGTTTACTCTTGGGAAAACATCGAATTTCACCAGAAAATCGAACATAGCATTAGAACTATACATATGACCATATATAAACTGATGTGTACATCGAAAAACTGCTGTATTTTGCTTAATTGTATATATTGTATATACTTATTTGATGCCAGTATGTCGCGAAATAAAACGTCGTGTCAGTTTGTGGTTCTTGTACAGTCACAAGCGGATTATGATTTTTTTTTAAAAACATGACAAAGATAATAAATGGTTTTTCCGTTTATGAGTTATTTTAAAAATAGAAAGAAGGATTTATATCCTATTGCAAACTCATAAACCATTATTTTTCACAGTACATTCTTCACTCTCCTTCTCCCATACAAACCGTGGCAGACATTTTATTTATTTTACTAATTAATCTCTAATTAACACCTAATTAACAGCGAAACTAATTAATGAGAGTGTGGGTATAAGTGTGACTGTATGGCTGAAGAGAAGAAGCGCACATCCACACTCACACACACACACACGCATCCTAATCTTCTATTTCATAAAAAATAAAAACAGAATCAATTCACCTTAACGAGAACACATTTTACATAGGTCTGCCGATTGTCTCTCATATCTCCATCACTTTACATCCTAAAACTTCTATTTGTGTATCACGACAAAAAGAGCATAAAATTTTGCATCCTTTGATATAAAACGAATAATTTCTGGCTGCCAAACTAGGTGAGTAATGAGTGATAGAAAATCGAAATTCAAAAATGTTTCCGTTAATGTATATATTCAGCAAGAAAATGCGGGTGACCGATGTTCTGCAAATAAAATATTCGCCATTGGAGAAAGTTCTGTTGGTAAAAGTCTTATTAGCCAAAATTTGAAACCCCTTTGTTTAGATCTCTATTTAGCTTATAAACGTTTTATTCTATATAACACATATTTCTATAGTCATTTTCGATATTAATTCTAATGATTTATATTTGTTTCATTTTATTTTGTTTGAAAATAATTCATCATCATCGAATTATGGATGTATTTTTCTTTTGTTTCATTTCATTTCGATATGGTTTAATATCTTTATAGTAAGATAAACTGAGAAAAATGACCAAACTTTGTATCTGTCAATCATTCAAAAACTCTATCAGATATGTCTACTAATTTGTATTATATCAAAGCAAGCTAATATATACTTTAATTTTTATTCAATGCCATTGATTCCACAAATGATCTTTTTATTGTTCATGATTTTCTTCAAAAGAATAACCATGTAAGTCCAAATGTATAAATATTTTGAATTCTTGATAAATTGATTCGAAATCTCTTAAAAAATAAAACTTGAATTATCAATATATTGAAAATAAATCGACTTTTTTGTCATTTAAGAATAATATCGAAAAATGATAATTTTCGTTTGTTTTTTCAAACAAAAGTTTTTATTTCATCAAAAAAACAAAGAATAATGTAGAATATATTATCAAGAATTTTAACGACCACCAGTAATTGAACCATGAAGATTATTGATAGTTTCTGAAACTGAACCAAGAACATTGAGACCATGACCAACAAGTTGTTCTTGAAGTTGTTCCCAGTGTGGTTTTGAAGCATCAAGAATGTTTGAACCAAGTGAGGCAATGTTTTGGACAGTGCTTTGAAGGATATTTTGAGCAGTTGAGACAGCATTGGTGACTTGACCTAGAACACCTAGAAAACAAAATGTTTTTTTTTTATCAAGATATTCGGATAGTTTTTCTTTCACTTACCTTGCCAGAGATCCTCAAAACCACGTCCACCTAAACTACCAAGTCCACCAAGAACAGCAGCTAAACCTTGATTAAGAACATGTTGACCAATTCCTTGAATGGCTGGAAGAACTTGATTGAGGAGGTCCTGAAAGATGCCGCCAATATCCAAATCAAGACGACCTAATTATAAAATATTCAAATGAAAATTTCTAAATAAAGACAAATCTAAGAGTATAACATACCACCAAGAAGACCTTGAAGACCACTAAGAACTGAATTAAGACCTTGGCCAATAATTCCATTAATTAAAGGTCCAAGTTGATTAAGGATTGAGCCGAAATCTATGTCCAATCAACCAATTGAAGCAACAAGTGATGAAAGTTCACCAACAGCTTGTTGAACTAAACCAAGAATTTGTTGTTGAAGAAAACCGAAAACAGTGTGTGCCATAGTTTGTGCTTCTTGAGCAAGTTGATCAAGAATTTGGCTACGAGCATCTGTAGCCATTGAACCAGCAACACAAGCGAAGAAGATAAGAGCAAGAACAGCTTTCATTGTTATAGATGTGTTTTAACTAGGAACGAAGGATAAATTTAAGTGAAGATGAAAGAGAATCTAATGCTCCTTTTATACTTCGATCCTTACTGTAAATTTGTCCTTGTACACGATCGATACTTTATGAGAATATTCTCATTTGCTTGCAGTGATAAATTAAAACAACTACGCAATTTTCTTGTTCGTTTAGAAGTTGCAAATCATTCTCTTATTTTAGTTTATCTGAAAGAAACAGTTTTGAATCTATGAAAATGATGAGAACAAATACACATGTTAATAGATTAATATTTTGATTAGACTATAACTAAAGATAAAGGTGTGATATCATGTTTTGAAATAATTTTAAAATTTAATAATAATTTTTTTTTTCCAACTTCGTTGCCTTTCGTTGTTTTTTTTTGGAAGTTCTAAAGAAAAACATAGATGACACTATTGATGAAAATCTTTAGAAATTTTTTCTATTTGAATAATATTTTTGAGATAATAATTATTGATGTTAGTAAGGATTCATTAGATTGTGGTAGTAGTATCCGTTGATACTCTTATGACCATACTCGTGATGATAGACTATAACAAAGGTTGTAACATGCCATATCTTTCGGGTCTGATCTCGAAGCTCCAACAAGCATACTGATGTTTCTGATTTTTCTTATAGATATAATTGTATCACTCTACATTAATGTATCATTCTAGTTTCAATTATTCACTTAAAGTTTCATACACAAAATAGCAAAATAAAAACAAAACGAACTTGATCATAAATATTTTTCATACAAGAAAGAGTTGAATTAACACAATATTTTTGATCATATTAGTGCTATTTCGCAATCTAAACAAGTTCTTTTCTTAGTCAGTGTAATTCTTGCAATACTGTATTGACGTTCAATTCAAACATATGTTACTGAAATTGAATGAATTTGTTAAAGCACTATCGAATAATAAGGCTATGCATCAACATTTGATTTCCAAAACGTAAGAGTCAGGCCAACCACTTTGGCCTAACCTGATGGACAGTCTAGATAGTGTTCTGATTCAAGTTCGAATATAAATAAAAATTTCGAAAACATAAGGATCATAGTAGACAAAAATAAGAAAAAAAATCTATTTCAATTAGGAGTTATAATTCAGACATTGTGTTGATAAAAATGTCACATATCAGAGCTTATCGAAGAATCATCCTTCACACTACCACATGTTGAGACTAGCATAAAAGTAAATATGCATACGTCCTGTGTTACGACAGATGTCACCAATTTTAGCATTTGTAATATCTAATGCCTGATATTACTTTACAAAAAAAAAAACTCAATATTCGAAATGGATATAATCATCTTCATGAAAAAAGCTAAGTCTTTCTCTTGTACTTCGAATATTTCAGTACCATGCACTATGTATTTGTTTCCGTGTCGTTGTCTGCTGTAACAGCAGTGACAATATATCTCCTTCCATTTTGAATGAGACGAGTAGTGTGATGAATGCATCAATCAAGTTACCTAATAACATTAAGTCATTTCTTTTTGTTCGTTTGTAACTATCAAAATTCTCAGATAGTTTGAAAATTCCAATTTCATGAATCTTGTGTACTTCTATGCTTGTAAACGAATCAAATCATAGTTACAATACACAAAAAAAAACTTGATCACAATAAAAGCCAACCTTCAAGTTTTTTACTTGCGAAACATATTAGAAGAGAGCAATTGGGTAGTATTGTGTGAGAAAGAAGAGCTATTTTAACAGTATCTATGGTTTAGATGCACATGTGGCATATAATCATTCTGTTCTATGTAAAATATTTATATAGTTATTTTAGTTATTAATTGTAATGATTTATATTTGTGTCATTTAATTTTTATTTGAAAATAATTCATGACCAACAAAGTGTTTAATATCTTTTTTCTATTCTCTTGATCGTATCGAACTTTTAATTTTGATATTTTTACAAAAATAGCCATTGTTATTCGTCAAAATAGATCAAGAAGCGCAATCAGTAAAATGCAATGCACTGGAGAAAATGATTGATAACATATTTTGCTTTCTTTGCATCTGGTGATTGTCACAGAACTTTATTAGATATTTCTAGTATTTTTCGACAAAGAAAAACCGAATTTGACTATCAGAAATCAAAGTAAAATTTTGTTCATCATAATCTTAATTATCATCATTATCGGTATTACTAGTAATATATTGATGATATAAAACTACTTAAATAACTATCTTTCAATATCATGTATCTTTTTTGCTAATCAATTTTCTCTTAAAAAATAAAACTCGAATTATCAACATATTGAAAATAAATCGACTTTTTTGTCATTTATGAATAATATCGAAAAATGATAATTTTCGTTTGTTTTTTTCAAACAAAAGTTTTTATTTCATCAAAAAAACAAAGAATAATGTAGAATATTTTTATCAAGAATTTTAACGACCACCAGTAATTGAACCATGAAGGTTATTGATAGTTTCTGAAACTGAACCAAGAACATTGAGACCATGACCAATAAGTTGTTCTTGAAGTTGTTCCCAGTGTGGTTTTGAAGCATCAAGAATGTTTGAACCAAGGGTGGTAATGCCTCCGACAACGCCTTGAAGTATATTTTGAGCAGTTGAGACAGCATTGGTGACTTGACCTAGAACACCTAGAAAACAAAATGGGTTTTTTTTGGTCAAAATATTCGAATAGTTTTTCTTTCACTTACCTTGCCAGAGATCCTCAAAACCACGTCCACCTAAACTACCAAGTCCACCAAGAACAGCAGCTAAACCTTGGTTAAGAAGATGTTGACCAATTCCTTGAATGGCTGGAAGAACTTGATCGAGGACGTTCTGAAAGATGCCGCCGATATCCAAATCAAGACGACCTAATTATAAAATATTCAAATGCAAATTTCTAAATAAAGACAAATCTAAGAGTATAACATACCACCAATAAGACCTTGAAGACCACCAAGAACTGAATTAAGACCTTGGCCGATAATTCCATTAAGTAAAGGTCCAAGTAGATTAAGGATTGAGCTTAAATCTATGCGAGCTCCACCAATTGAAGCAACAAGTGATGAAAGTTCACCAACAGCTTGTTGAACTAAACCAAGAATTTGTTGTTGAAGATAACCGAAAACAGTGTGTGCCATAGTTTGTGCTTCTTGAACAAGTTGACCAATAAATTGGTCAGCATTTGATGCCATTGAACCAGCAACACAAGCGAAGAAGATAAGAGCAAGAACAGCTTTCATTGTTATAGATGTGTTTTAACTAGGAACGAAGAATAAATTTAAGTGAAGATGAAAGAGAATCTAATGCTCCTTTTATACTTCGATCCTTGCTGTGAATTTGTCTTTGTATACGAACCATACGTTATGGGAATATTGCCATTTTATTGCGTGTTTTAATTCAAATATTTACGCACTTTTTTTTTCATTTGCTCCCTGTACTTTATAATCTGAACTTAGTTTGTCTGAAAGAAAAATTTTCGAATCGATAAAACTGACGAGAACGAACACATATGCTAATATACTAATAGTTTGGTTAGATTGTGATGAAAAGTAGTGGTGTGATGCTATGTTTTTGAAATAATTTCAACATTTATTAACAATTCTTTTCTCTTGTTGATTAATTTTTTTTTTGTTTTTGGAAAATATTAAAGAAAAACATAGATGACACTACTTGTGAAAATTTCGAATATTTTTTTATTTGTTGTTGGTTATAACCAGTGATGATAATTGTCATTGACAATTAACGTTTTTTTTTTTCTTGTATATTATTTGCTTTGAATAATTCTGAGACAATGATTATTGATGCTAGTCGAGGTGAAATTCAACTTGATGATCTTTTTAATGCTATTGAACATGATAAAGATCAAGTATAATTTTATTCATTGATAAATATAGAAAAATAATTCTTTGATTGAATAAATTAGGTAACACAAGCACTTGATATTTATGGTGATTATTTAAAAATAAAAAATAATAATTCAATTGATGGTAAAAATAAAATCGAATTACTTGAACGTATTTTAAAATTAGAATGTATTGAAAAAACAATTATAAATCATAATCATGAGAATGAACGATCAAGAATTAATCTTAAATGGACTGTATTAACAGAATGTGGAATTTGGTATCGAAAATTAAATTTATATGAAAAAGCTATTGAATATTTTGAAAAAGTTTGATAAATTTAATTTAAAATAATGTTTTAATTTTTTCTAAAAAAAAGAATTGATCTTTAGGCAAATTTAATAAATAATCGAGTATCAACTATTTATTATGAAATGGGTATGTGTCATCTTGAATTAGGAAATATTTATCAAGTGAAAATATGTTTTGAAAAAGTAATCTAGTTTATATAAATTATTTTTTTATAGAATTTTGTTTTATTTTTCCTTAGACTATTGAAATTAGTAATGAACATATTCATTGGAAATGTCTTGAACAAATTATATATCTTTATTTTATTCTTGGAAATTTTTCAAGTATTATTATTATTATTTTTGTATAATTCAAGAAATCTACTATTTTCTTTTTTTGCGTAGAATGTCTTGAATATATTCGTATTGGTTATGATCATGTTGCAACATATCAATCATTATATGATTTTGGACAAATATTTTTAGTTTTACTTGAAAAAACACAACCATCAATAAAAATATTAATTGAAAAAATGTTTATAAATGAAATTCAATATATAATTTATAATGATGAAAATTTATTAATAAAAATAGATGAATTAAAACAAAATATTAAAATATTTAAAGAAAAATTATTTCAAAAGAAAAATATTAATAATGAAAGAAAAATTCTAGATGAAAATATATCCATCGAAAAGTAAATATATATGTTAACATCCAATCTAAGATTTGTCTGAAACTTTTAAGCGAATTGCTAATTGATCTAGGCTAATGGTGAGTTGAAAAGGTTAGTACGATCAATCTCGGACTCCTCGGCGCCAATCTTTAATTGACTAATATATTACATTGAAGCAAAACTAATGAAGGATGTTGTAATGTACTCGTTCTCTTCATGGCAACATCTACAATCGAGATATAAATTAATTTTTTTGAAGTTTGTGTTAGTATAAACGATGATTCGATTTTATCCGCATTTTTCTATTCAATACATCCTTTGAACTGAATCAATACTTATATATAGAGTGCAATATACTTACGAGGAAACCTCGTCAGGTGAATCTTACCTCATTAGATAGAGTCTATTGATACTTAGAGAAAGCGTAAAATGGTCATAAGTCAAGAAGAAAGATCTATAGGCAGGAATCATTTTTACGCTTTTTCTAGCCTCAATAGGCCCTATCTAATGAGGTAAGACTCATTTGAAAAGTGGATTTATCACCTGGCAAGATTCCCTCGTTAATCTCTAATTCGAGATAGGATATATTAACCTTTGGCTCGGGCTAATTTGAGATTCGCATAAAATTTTCAGGTGAATTTTCGATTAGACGCTAACATATATAAAGAAAAGATGATGTTTACGAAATAAATATTTTTAGTTTTCAAGATTTTGGTCAATATTTAGTAAAGAAAATTCGAGAATCTAATAATGATAATTCGGTAAATCCTATTTTGATGATTATTGAAGAAAAATGAATTTTTTTTTTAAATTTCATCTTAGAAACTTTGTAAATTGATTAATATTAAAAAATTTTTACCAAAAGAAGAAATTGCCAATGAAAAACCTGAACAAGAACCAATCGAACAACAGCAACAACAACAACAACAGCAACCAATTGTATCTGAAGAACAACGACCTCAACCAACGACTAATCGAAAGAAACGTTCATTTCTACCATTAAATATTGATGATTATGAAAAACGACGATCAGCAAGAAGTGTAAGTTAGAAATCATCATTTTGTACAGAGGTGCAGAATCTTTCAAAAAATCAAAAATTTCCCCAAAGCTATTTTTTCTTCGTCACTCACAGACCAACTTTATTTGACACAAAACATAAGTAAAAAGAAAATCCAGTGTTTATCCTTCAGTTGAGAGAAGTAGTTGTTGAGACAGAACTTGATGAAGCAGTGGTGCATTCCAATGTAACATCACTTCTTTGTCTACGGATTCGTGATCCAGAGCTCGATTGCCACGAATGTGTTGCTTCAGGATTGAGACAGCACTCTCGCAGACAGCTTCGCTTCGGATTTTGACAACCATCGGAGAATAGAAATGTAGAAACTGTTCAATACCATTCGCCAGATCTTTGTTCGTGAAGAAAGTTTTCATCACTTTTGTCGTTGAAATTTGATCATCTTTTATCCAAACGTTATATCCTGTAACTGTTAATTATGACGAGAACAAGCTTTTTCCCTTTCTAATCGTTTTTTTTCCAAACCCCACCCCCCGCCGCGCGGGAGCACACGAGGAAGACTCTGCACCTCTGATTTTGTATTCGAAAATGAACAATATGATTTTGTATTTTTTTTTTATTTTAGATTACTCGTACAATACCAGATGATAGTAATGTTAGTACAGTAGATAAATTACGACGAATGTTATCCAATGATGAGAACATGTTTGTACTTCGGTTTTTTTTTTTTTTGTTATTTCCGAGTATATATGTTCAGATATCCATTCGATTTTTAGCAATACACATGTACATTTTAACTAAGAAAAAAAAATTCCTTTATCTACTTATTCATATCTTCTGATATATTGATTGAATTGCATTGAACTTATCGATAGCAGAGTCCATCTAATAAAACCCTCAGATGGCTTAAGATCCTTCTTGGCGATGAAAAAAAATAAGATTTTTCGAGACTCATCGAGATCTATCTTCTAGTAAAAATATCAATTCAAAAGTGCTTCACCATTCCTTGTTAGTCTGTGTCTTGGACGGACTTCAACTCAACATTTATTGTAGAGCATTGACTTTTGTACAAAATATAAGCAAAATCTTATCTATACATTTCCACTAGAGAGCTAGTTTCTATGGCAATCAGTACTCACTATTTCAAAACATGCTTTGTAGAGTAAAGAACGTATTCGAACAAAAAAAGTCTGCTTCTGACTTTGACCAATTTTTCTTTTTTGTATTTTAGTTCAGATGATGAAGCTGATGAAACAATTGCTTCACCGGAAAATATTGATGATGGTTGAGTATTTTGTGTTTATTTTTTTGAAAGAAGATAACTAATTATTAAGTTTATTATTTTTTAGAAACAACTCCGACAATATTATCAGAATTACCAAAAGAAAATTTTCCATTACTTCGAATTGAATATAAATCATTTATACAATTGATCAAAGAAAAAATTGAAGATGGATATCAATATCATTATCTTGATCTTATTTGTGATTGTATAAATGAACTTACAAAACATTCCTCTACTTTATGGTTAGTTTCATTCACAAAATAGCTCTTTAGTCCCGGTATCATATCATTCCGTTGTGGAGTGGAGCTTAAATCTTCGGCAGCAATGCATCAGAACATTTAACGATTTTCTTTGTCTCCTAAAAAACTTTTTGGTTGCCTTTCTACCGTAGTGGTGGACTAGTTATGCAAGTACTCGAACAAAAATTAACTATAGTCGCACGAGTTTTTCAGTCGTTTTCTGTATTAGAACACCCAAGAGAACGTTTTGAAGCTTCAGAGAAGTCAGATAGACAAGCGAAAACTCAAATAAATTATTCGAACAAAATTTAAGAACATAATGATTTGAATAATATTAGCGAGCATTCTTGTCTGCGTATAACCGATGTGCCCACTGATTACAAAGCAGATAAATGCTTTACTGAATAACTTTCGATAGAGGCCTACAAATTTTACTATTCAAAAGAGGCATAAAATCAGCTCAAATTTTATTGACCAATAAGATGATTTTTTCTGAAGTTTTCTATAATCCTCTTTCGTTGTATTTGGATTTCTATAGATTCGATCGACGCCACTGACTTGTTCTACTCAGGACTTCGCGGAGAGTCAGTATTTCAAAAAACCTTATCAGAAGAGTTTTACGTCGCTTTGAAACTTAAAACAAATATTATGACTAAAATTACCCTTGTTTTGATCATTTTCGGAATGCTCCAAGGTCACTAGATGGAAATCGAAATTTTCGGAAAATCCCTACGACTCTTAAACAGAACGATTTAGTGACGTTGGCTTTATTTGGATCGAATCTATAGAAGTCCACATACAATCGGATAGTCTTCCAGAAAACCTTTTGAAAAAACTTATGTGATTGGTAAAACGTTGGACCAACCAAATTTGAACTGACTTTATGCCTCTTTTGAATAATGAAGTTCACAGACCTCTATCTTACTCCTTTCAAAAGTTATTCAACAAAAAATTTGATCGACTTCGTATTTTGATGTCGATTGTTGTAACCTACACAAAGATAGAGAATATATCTTTAAGTGTGCACTGATAACATACATCACTATTCGTAGTGCGACAAATTAGCACAATCTTTAAAGTATCTTTATGATATTTTCATAGGTCGAATGAAGTTCGAACAATATTTACGAAACTTTTTGATTGTCTACTTGATTATGTACAATATTCAACTAGTAAGATTTTTTTCTTAAATAAATAAAAGTATTGATAAAAATTAGAAATTATATTTTAGCTGAAATTGAATCAAATCATTTACGAGCTTGTTTATGTTATGTTGAAAATGCACTTGGATCATCAAAATCTGATTTATCTGAAGATTCAATTGAACGGTAAAATAAACTTTTTCGAAAGAATGATTTATATTAAATAAAAATGTATTTTCTATAGATTTAGTTGTTTTGCTCGTTTAAAAATAAAATATAAATCACTTGGTTATTGTTTCGCACATTTACAATTCTTTTTATATTTATTTAAAAATAGTTCTATTCAACAAAAACAATTTGAAATTGATGAAATATTTTATCGAAGTAAATATTTTATTTTTTATTAAATAATATCTTAGTTTTTGTTTATTATAGTTTTATGGATTTCATCATTATATTATTTTTTATCTGATATGCAAGATGATGCATTAGCTTGTATTTATCAATTACAACATTTATTACCAGATACAATAACAATTATTTTACCTAATTTAATTAATCATACAACTATTTGTCAAGGTAAATAGATTTTATTTTTGTTTTTAAATAAAAAAATTTTGTTTTTTTTTTTTTTGTGTTAAAGATTCAATTGAAAAACTTTATTTACGATTAAAAACTAATAATGAAATATCATCTAAACAATCATCATCATCATCATCATCACAAGAATTAACATATATTCTATCACGTATTGCTGTTGCTGAAGAAAATGATGAATTAGTATTATTAATAAAAAAATTAGAAAAAAAAATTAAATTATTTTATACAAATTTAAAAACACAAATACATTTACAACAAAAATCTTTAATTAAATGTTATGAAACACTTATTAATGTTCTTAATGAAAATCAACATTTAAATGAAAAAGAAAATTTAAATGTTAGAAAAATATTTGATCAAATTCTTATTCAAATTATTGATATGATTATTAAGTAAGAAAGAATATATTCTATAGAATAAAGATTCAAAAAATAGAAGAATAAAAAAACAAAAGTCTGAATTGAATAAGACGAAGTTAATCGAAAAGTAACTGTAACCCGCCTTTTGAACTTATAGGAAGGGCTTGATAAGACTAGGAAGAAGCTTAGAAGAGTTCGCGCCCATAGACCTCTAGAGAAAACAATCATAGTTCGGCTTCAGAGGCTCATGGGTACAAATCTTAAAAAGATTTTTTCTAGTTCTACTGAGATTTTCTTGTGAGCTCAATATGAGTTTTTATTGTCTAAAGCATAATTTGCAAAACCCCAGACCAATGAATCCGGCACTCGGATCCTTCATTTCTGGTGATCGGGCTTTCCAAGTTCTAGTCGAAATTGATCTTACGAGGGAGGGTCACCAACTGATCAATCGCTTTTGAGTCGGAACTATGTGCATCATATAGGTCCTAATGAGCTATGAATACCCTGAAAAGAGTTCGGGCCGCTAGCTTATTATTGTCGAAATACTGCATATTTGTGGTATTTTTAATTAAGCACAATGCCGTGGCCCCTCTCAGGAACCAGAAAAACTGAGTTTCGAGTTTTGACTTGAAACTTTGCACAGAAACAGGTCTCAGTGAGAGTAGTTTATTGTGAAAGTTTCAGGTCTTTTGGGTGTTCCTATCCTAAAATATGGCTAAAAAGGATGTTTTTACACTGCTCGAATACCCCGACAGGTTCTGATGTCCTTATTTCAGAATAGGAACAACCAAAAGATCTGAAACTTTTACAATAAACTACTCTCATTGAGGACTGTTTCTGTGCCAAATTCCAAGTCGAAATTGAAAACTCAGTTTTGCTTGTGTTCCTGAGGGGGACCACGGCATTCTGCTTAACAATATCGTAAAAATGCAGTATCTCGGCAGTAATAAACTAACGGTCCAAACTCTTTTCAGGGTATTCATAGCTCATTAGGACCTATATGATACACATAGTTCCGACTCAAAAGCGATTGATCAGTTGGTGACCCTCCCTCGTTAGTCAGGCAATGCCGGCCATTGGATTCCTGCTTTTAAGTTCCTATCATTTTTCAGTCGTATTTTATTCACTCGAATAGTGAATGACTAATTGATGGAAGATGAACATCGAAATATGATATAGACTTTTTTGTTTGTAAAGAACTTTCATTCGCTTTATCAATAATAGAAAATCTCAATTAACAAACTATTATAATTAAATCAAATTGAATATCATTAGGATTAATTAATTTCATAGGAGAAGCTTAGATTTTAGTATTCACTGTACAAACTAATGTTTATTTCAAAAAAGAAGGTGAGTGGATATTTTTTGAACGGATTG